CACACACTCTCTTCCAATTTTCACTGCATTCTCAGATGGTCAGTGATCCGTCAGGACCACAACATGGGTCTGTACCCAACAGTGGACCTGGCTCCTATATGTGTGTTTGTGTGGTTTGCTATTTTAGAGTTCAGCACAGACAATTTGAGCTTTGAAGTGGGAACCGCGAATCTACAGTGACCCAACTTTTTTTCCATTTACTTCTATTCTACAGCCAAAAAAGCCATCAAAGTATAGCACAACTCTACACAGCTGATATTACGCACAGCTTGCTTCAGTCAGCCAAACTGAGAGCAGTAACCAGCACTGCATCATTAAGATATTACAGAATGATGTCATCAGATGTCATACGACCTCAGCTCTTCTCAAATGTTCCAGAGAGCCCAGACCTCACAGCTCTCAGCTCCAGTGTGCTGATCTCTCTCTCTCTCTCTCTCTCTCTCTCTCTCTCATTCTCTCTTTCTTAATTAGAGCTGGATTACTGGTCATTAAACTCTAAAGGGGTTTGGGTTTTTGCTTAATCCCTCGTTTCATACCCTCCCCTCAACCCTGAGACCCTCCCCCAACCCTGATACCACCACAGCAGCTTTCCCTTTCCTTCCTTCCCTCTCTCTTTCTTTCTTTGTGAAAAATCACAAATAAGATCTCTTTCAAATCTCAGTTTTTTCTCCTACAAAACAACGAGATGAAATAAAGATAAAATGGAAAAAGTCTCCTGAATCTCAGATTGTTCTCCCTCAGAATAAGATGCCACTAATCTTTTATGTGTCTCATGTAGAGTTTCAAAAGAGATTCAGTATTATTTTAGTATTATTTATGTACTATAATAGTATTTACTTATATTTTCAATTAGATTTTTTTTAAATAATTTTTCACTTTAATTTTAATTTAAGATTTAGTTCGTTTTATTAGTTAAAATTTTTTTTTAATTTCAGTTTTAGTTTTAAAACTTAAGTTTCCATGGCAAAATTTCCCATTTTTGTTTTTCATCTAATATTGATATTTTATTTAATTTTAGCTTGATTTCAGTTATTATTTTTAATAGTTTTAGTTTTAGTTAACATTAACTGAAGAGATCTTAATGTTTCAAGCTGTTCTCAGTTTTTTTTTCAGATTTTCATTATTTAATTATTTCCTTTTTTTTCTTTTTTTCATTATTTCATTATTTTACATTTCTCATCTAATTCAAAGATCTGGGCTGTGCTATCCATATTAATAGTTTTTTTTTTGTTATATATATTTTTTTACTCTATTCACAAACTGTATATAAACATGTTCTCATTTCTCTCTATTTTATTTAATTTTTAAAAAAAATATGGACAGAGCCAGTGATTCTCATTCTCTCGCTATACTGACACATATTTGCCTGCACAGACATTTATCAAAATGTGTCTAAAATATATTTTAAAAATCAATTCGGGTCACTGAAATGAGAACTTACCAACACTAAAACATTGAGAAATTAAATCTTCCTCTTGTTTCTTTCTTTACTTGTTATACACAGTCAAAGATATTGTGGCATTTTCTACAATTTTTAGTCACATTTCAGTTGACGCTGTTAGACTTTAAGCTGTTTCTCTTCTTTTTCCTTCCTCTCTCTTGATTTCTTGTGAGAATTTGTGTTTTAGTATCAAGTGGGGGAAAAAAGCAGCTGATGAAATTAGATGCAACCTAACCCCAGCTAGAAAAGACAGCAATCTCATGCATTTATTACACAACAGAGAGACCTCATGAAATCTCAATCAAAAAAGAGGATTGAAATGAGAAATAAGAGGGTGAAACACACCATTTCCATTACCTGCATCGTCCTCATCTTCATCATAGTCCTCATCATCACCAGAGGACAGCGAGTCTAAAAGAGAAAGAAAGACAGAGAGAGAGAACGATCTTATTACTACACAGCACAGTGGCCTTTCTGTATGAACAATGAACCAATTCATATGATCTGCAGAATGAGGAAAATAAACTGATAACAAATCAAAACCAATTACTGCACACACACACACCCTCAAACATTCACATACACAGCGGTTAATGGATGGCAGATGTTAGCAGAGATTCAGTGAGTAAAACGTCTCAGAGTTTTCTGACAACAGCTGTATTTTTACACACATGTCCTGAAATACACACGCACAAACACACACTCTTGTATCCTGCTTCTAAATGAACTCATTCAGAAGGAGAAAAAAACGCTATGACCCTAAAAAAGAGATTATTCTGTCTTCAGCTCCTCCTCTGTGAAGATTTACACAGGTAAAACTGTACAGCACACACTCCTAAAATACCAGCGGAGCGTGAAATCCAACACTAGGCCTATTTAGTGCTAAAGATATGCTGTTACTGGGACACTGAAGCTTTCTGTGTGGGGCTTTCACAGTGTTAGCTGCACCAAACCATCAGATTTATGCTATGTCTTCAGCGGCTATTGAAGGTTTGTCTTGTAAAATGTTTTAAGTTCTAATGGTTTGTTGTTGTTCTGTGGCGTTACAGGATTAGTACACCCAAAAGTTAAAAACTGTAAAGACGTCAATGACAAAACCCATGCAAACAAATGATGTCATTGATGTCAAACCTGGTGTGGGGCATTTAGCGGTACATTATCAGAAAATACACGAGACCATGAAAAGCAAAGAACATTTTCATTTTCTGTATGCTCCTAACACGAAGTTTTAGAAGACTCGGAATATAGCACACAAGCTAGTCCCTATTCACTTTCATTATATGGAAAACAGCAGCTTGAACATTCTGTAAAACATCTTCTTTTATGTTCCACAGACAAAAGAAACTCAGGTTTGGAATGAATATGGGTGATTAATTATGTTTTTTTTGTATGAACTATCTTGGTAAAGCTCTGTTGTGTATTGTTGTCTGTCAATGTGTCTGGTAGCTATGTCTTGTGTAAAAGTGTGCAGAACAGGATATTGCTGTCTTGTGGACTCTTTATCGGCATGCGATAATTGGTGCAGGTTCTGTGCCCGTTTCACTTTTTTTCTGTCTTTCTCCAGACGCTGGCGAGAAGGAGAGCTGATTTGCCCTGGCCTAACGCCAAACACATGTCGGTAAAAAAAAAAAAACTCTCCCCACACACTTACTTTTTCCATCTGCTTTAAATGACGAGGTGATTCCATATAATTACATTCTAATTAGTTGTCAATGAGCAGCTCAGCTTGTGTCCACGAGTTTACAGAACCAAAGATCCCTCCACACTACCGTTTAAACTAGGGATGCACCGATACCACTTTTTCCAGTACTCGCCCGATACCGATACTTTTATTTTTGGTACTTGCCGATACCGAGTACATTTTTAAAATATTGGTTACAGAAACCAAAAGAGTATGTATAATGTTAGTTGGTTAACTTCATTTATCAAATAGATACAGTCAAACCAAAATTTATTCAGACACCTTCAACATTTCTCACATTATCACAGTTTATTCGCTATAGTTTAGAAAATGGTTATACAATATGACAAGAACTCAGAGTTAAACTGTGTCAGAACAAATTCAGCTTGATAATGACAGATAACTTTGATAGAAAGGTATGTAATAGATTACAAT